AACTTTTCTTTATTTCTTTCTAACTTATTTCTTTCGAACTTGTTCTTCTTTCTAACTTATTTCTTTCTAGCTTATTTCTTTCCAACTTATTTCTTTTCAACTTATTTCTTTTTAGCTAATTCCTTTTTAACTTGTTTTTTTCTTTTTTTTTTGTCATTTTATCTATGACAAATAAGCTTTTATGTTTATTTTTTTTTGGCTTTGTTCTATTTTTTGTTTTGTCTTTATTTATGGTTGGTACTTACTAGTACTTTTTTTTTTTTTTACTTTCTTTTTTTTTTTTTTTTGTCGTGTGGTGGTGTACTATATTTGTTGTAACGACTTGGCATAAAATAGAGTGGATGGGTTATAGCTTCAATAAGCTATAAGTTATGTTTTTTTTTCTTTTTTTTTGTTCATTAAAATATTTGAAGTTTTGTATTATTAAAGCTAACTCCAACTTGCTTTTTAAAGTTACGGTTATGAAAGTTTCATAGTACATACGTACGTATATATGTTTAAAGAAATTTTCAGTCCACAAGGGCTTTTCGTATTATGTTTCACAGGATTTTTTACATTACATTTTATGAGATTTTTGTATTACGTCTTATAGCATTTTTTCTTTTTACGTTTTAGGTATTTTTCGCATTATGTCTCGCGATATTTTTCACATTACGTCTTATGATATTTTTTGCACTACGTTTCACAGTATTTTTTGCATTATGTCTCGCAGTATTTTTTGCACTACATCTCTCGGTATTTTTCGCATTATATCTTATAGTATTTTTGTACTACGTATCGTGGTATTTTTTGCATTACATTTCACAATATTTTTTGCACTACGTTTCACAGTATTTTTGCACTATGTCTCACAGTATTTTCACACTACGTCTCATAGTATTTTTCGCACTATGTCTCACAGTATTTTTGCACTATGTCTCACGGTATTTTTCACACTACGTCTCATGGTATTTTTCGCACTACATCTCATAGTATTTTTTGCACTACATCTCACAGCATTTTTCGCACTATGTCTCATGGTATTTTTGCACTACGTCTCACAGTATTTTTGCACTACGTCTCACAGTATTTTTTGTACTACGTCTCACAGTATTTTCACACTACGTCTTACAGTATTTTTTGCACTATGTCTCATAGTATTTTTTGTACTACGTCTCATGGTATTTTTCACACTACGTCTTACAGTATTTTTCGCACTATGTCTCATGGTATTTTCGCATGAGATTTTTTATTTTACGTCTTATAAGTTTTTATATTATGTTTTATAGTATGTTTTATAGTATTTTTTATATTATGTAGTATATTATTTTTTAGATTAGGTTTTATATTATTTTATATTAGATTTTATATTATTTTTAGATTAGGTTTTATATTATTTTTATATTAGGTTTTGTATTATTTTTATATTAGGTTTTGTATTATTTTTTATATAGGTTTTGTAATACATTGCACAAACTGTTGTAATACATAATATGCATATTATTTATGTGATACAAAAAAAAAGTCACCATTTTATTTTGATCAAATTTCGTTATGATCTGTAACATTAATTACTAAATATAATCATTAATCCTTAATTGCTAAGTATTAAGCATTAAGGCTAATTATTATATATGTCTTCTAAATTCTTTTTTAAGATAAAATAATAACTAATAACTAATAAAATATAAATATCAAAACAATAAAATAATACTAAAATAAAATAAAATAAAATTGTTTTATAACAGTATAATTTAGTTAATAAACTAAAATATTTTTTGAATATTTTTTGAATATTTTTAATACAAAAATCCAGAATATTTAAATAATGATAATATATTTTTTATAGGATATAACTGATAAAAAATTGATCCACTATGTCTGGTCCATAATTCAAACCTAATAACCTGCCATTTCTGATAACTAATATCTAAAAGATCAGATATCAATAGGATATCAAACTTGACAAGTAATATAAATCGATTTGATTAGCTTAAATCAGGTTATATGTAACAGATTATATAGATAAGAACTATAATTTAATCAATTATATTTATTGTAATTATGAGACCAGCTGCCACATTAGTATTCTAATTCTAATAACCTCCCAAAACTAATACAAAAGTTGTCTACTATTTATACTGGATCTAAGAAGGTATACTGTATTAGTATTTACATTTTTAACTGATTTTGATCAAATAAATTTGTATTATTTTGGAATGAAATGAAGGCTTTGAAAGTTTATTATTAATATGCACTAATTTTTAAATTTTAAAATGGATAATAGATTAGTACATAGCTATTACATTTACAAATCATTCTTATATTTTGTAAGTTATCAATATATTTAAATTCAATATAGTTTTATAATACCTTATGATTTAACTGATTTAAAAGTCAATAAACTTAAAATTATCTAAACAAGTAAAATACTTTTTAAGAAAGCTTTAGAAATTAAAGACTTTGCTATATAGATTAACAAAAAAAAACTGATCCTGATCAAAATTTCAAATGTCATTTAATGCAAAATAAAAATTATCTTTGTATAGCCTTAATAATTTAAGTACTGCTAAATTTTTAAAATTTTGAGTGAAGTTTTTCTGATCAAATTTGATAAAAATTTTTATATACCAATTTTGCAATTTGATAGGCTAATTTCTAATATATATTATATGATTTTTTAAACCTGATAACCTTCAAAAACTAATACAAAACCTGTTCACCATATATACTGGTTTTGAGTAAAGCTGCAAATATTTAGAAGGTTCAAGGTAGTATGTTACTCTTTATGTCATATAAAATTTATATATAATCATATTAAATGTCACATTATATACATCATGTCATACGTCATAATAAATGTTCATTGATATTCTAATGTCTGCAGCTCTGTTTTAAGAGGACCAACAGTATTATATAAATATATTACATATACTTTAAAGCTAAAACTAAGACTTAGATACTTTATTTATAACTAAACTTTATTAAGATTATAATATATATGAGTGATTTGGGTAAATTATTTTTTTGCATAAATGATATTATTCATTTTTCTAAAATTTGTTTAGTACTTGCATTTGTATTTATTTTAAAATGCTTTTGTTTATAGTATTGTTGTTTGTATTTTGATATATTATCATTATTAGTAGAAAGGTTTTTTAGATAAGCTCTATAAAAGATAAAAGTGCTAGACTAGAGTTGGGTATATTGTTAATAGTAAAGTAGTAATATAGAAAATTAAGAGTTTCAGAAGCTGTTGTTTGGTCTGTAATATGTAAGATTAGCTATGTTGTATATATATTATTATTTTGTAGATGTTTAAAGATTTCTTCTATTTCATTTGATATTGTAAGTTTGTTGCTGGTATATTTGTTGTAGTTTTTTATTGTTCATATTGGTATTAATTGTATAGCCTAATGTGTGTTACTTAAAATTTATACATACTGTTGAACCTCTCAAAACTGATTTTGTTAATACTGATAACCTATCAAATTGCAAAAAATTAATCTGCCAGGTTTGTTTCTGTTATATAATTCTATTAGTTTGCGTTTTTAAATCCGATAACCTTTTAATACTAAACCTGCACCATGTATATCAGTTTTGAGAGGTTTAACAGATATTAATTTCAAATCAAATTAGTTAAAAAATGATGAAAAACATATACAGTTATATACAAAATTAATGTGAATTTATAAAATTGTAATTCTTTGTTGTTGAAACCCCAGAAAACAATAATGCATGAATATACACAAAAGCATAATCTTAGAAAGTTTAAATATACAGTCAACACTTTAAGCTAGGCATAGACAAACTAAATTTTTAACTTTATATAAACTAAATACAAAGTTTTAAAACATTTATAATTTTTGTTAATAAA